CTAACTATATAATCCCCGATTTCGCCTAATTCCGCCTCCGAAAAACCCTAGCCCACCGCCACACCCTGCGCTTCGCCTCTCCAGATCCTCCAAGTAACTTTCTCTCCGTTTCTCTTTCTCTCTAATCTTCCTCTCCACGATTGTATTATGTCTGAGTTTATGCCTGTTGTGCTTTTTTCTGATTGAGCAGAGATGAAGGTGATTGCTGCATACTTGCTCGCCGTATTGGGAGGCAACGCCAACCCTACCGCCGATGACTTGAAGGATATTCTCGGATCAGGTAACACCCAAGTTATTATGAATATAATCTTTAGTCGTCGTTACTTTATCTAGTAGCCGGTTCAGTTCAGAAATCCGTTCTTGAAGATTTCATTAAATATTATTATTATTATTTATTACCAGTGAGTTATATTGACTATTTTCGCGCATATTGTTTTGGGTTGTGTCGGGATTAACCTCCTGATTTGCCCCGGCTTGACTGTAGCGTGATATTCTTCAGGAATTTGATATGGAAGTTAGTTATGATGGTTTTGGGTTTTCTTCTTATTTTTGAATGTTGCAGTTGGGTGTGAGGTTGATGAGGATAGGATTGAGTTGCTTTTGTCAGAAGTGAAGGGTAAGGATGTTACTGAGCTAGTCGCAGCTGGAAGAGAAAAGTTGGCTTCAGTCCCATCTGGTGGTGGTGCAGTTGCTGTTGCTGCGCCAGCTGCTGGTGGTGGTGCTGCTGCTCCTGCCCCTGCTGCTGCTGAAAGCAAGAAGGAAGAGAAGGTTGAAGAGAAAGAGGAGTCTGACGACGTAATGATTCTTGTCTTTCATCCTCTAGTTGATTTATGCCAATTTCGCTATGGTTTGCATGTTTTAAATTCCGTGCTGTTTTACTTTTCCTGACTCTAAATTTTCTACTGTGCTGCAGGATATGGGTTTCAGTCTTTTCGACTAAAATGTCCACACTTTCTGTACCAAGGCATTTTATCTGCAGTTAGGGGTTACCTTGAAGTGTTACAAGTCTTTATATGTTACTTGTTTTTGAGTCTGTAGTTGGCCCTGGTTTTAGATATTTGAACTCTGAAGTTTTGTTTAGATAATGAAGTGAGTTTTTAACATTGGGATATTGCTAATTATTCTCAGATTTTATTGCATAAATGTTTGCCTGGCGTATAATCCTGTGCATTCAGGATACTTGATGTTTGTAACTTGAGCTGTGAATGCTGCAGAAAAGATTAATCTCCAATGGGCAGTTGATATGTCAATCCTTTCGTTCTGTGCATTCCCTAATTGAAAAGAATGTTACGTTGTTGTGTTACTGCCCTTAGAGCCTGTGTACCGCAGTTTTCCCCTTTGTAAGGTAATTGTCCACAATAGGTGAATTCCTGTCCATAGACAACGAAAAAATTGCAAAACTACTTAATGCTCTCACTCATGTGGAGGTAGAGAAGAGCGGGGATTGGTGGTACTAGAAAACCGAAGTTGTGAGTTTGAGGCATCCACTTGAGTTTGTTTGTCCATTGTCAATAGCAGGTTATAAGGTGGCGAGGGGTTTTTATCATTTTTGCGAAGGGGCTGGTGAGAAAGGAATTCGAAGTTCAATTGTTAAAAGCTGGCATGATGATAGTGGGAAACTGGAATAGAGACAAATAAGGTATGGTGGAAAAACAAGATCTGTATTTCTTTAAAGCTCATCATGATGATTTTCAAAACAGGCCGAAGTATGAAATAGAAATGATACAAACCCAACGACCCTTCGTCCTCGATAAAAAGGGCACTGGAACAACCTATATGGAAAGACAGTAGTCAAAATGTTTTAATAGGGGAGGCTGGTGTACATTTTAGATTAAAACTCGAGAGTTGAAGTTAACGAGGCCACTCCAGATGTAGATTGCTGCTGACAATTGACTGGAAAAAATCTTTGCTGGATATAGTTCTTGTGCAAGCCTAATGTGCCTGGAAAATCAACATAATCCTTGGTATATCAATTTAAAGCTCACTAAAGTGCAGGTGACGCCTTTCAAAAACTAATGAACTACTTGCCTGATAAACACTCTAATGTGGCCGGTAAATGTGAAATGGAGCACCATAGATATTGGAAAGTCCCAGCACTGAGAAATTCTTAAGACCTGGGGACAGTCACGTTTAGGATTTTTCACATCTTGGTATGGCTTGCCTGCCTTATCTGTCTTCACTTTCTCAATAGCCTAACAACACAAGAGTTATACATGTTGGTCAATACATTTTAAGCAGGAAAAAGAGAATAAAAAACTAAAGGGGGAAGCAGATGAGGGTATGGATGAAAAGATGTATAAACAGAAAAAAATAATTAGCCAAGAAGGGTTGTTCTATGCCACTGTCAGACTGTCTACTGTAGTTTATTTCTCCTATTCACAGAAAATAGATGTGTGGAGTTACAGAAGTACAAGCATAGAGTGCATGCCCATACAACAACCATTCCCTTTACAACTCGGCCGAATACTGTATGTTTATCGTCCGACCATGGGGTAGCCACTGTGGTAACAAGGAATTGAGACTCATTAGTATTTGGGGCAGCACTTGCCACTGTGGCTTTCTATTAGAATGTTGTTCTAATGTTCTTCAAACACACACCAACAGACAAGATAAAATATTTTTGTATGTACTTGAATAAAGGGCACAATTAGTGGTGTTTGAACACCACATCTACCGTTGAAGAAAATTTTAAAACATACTAGCTAGGAATAAAAAAGACTAAGGTCTTTTTTTTTTTTTTTCCTTTTTTTTCTTAAATAAAGTTTTTTAAATATGGAGTTAAATTCATGTAAACAAAGGTATTTTAAATTTCATCTTTTTTAGCATGAATGGCTAAGAATTAAGAAAAAAGTAAACAAAGCTGATTTACACAATATCAGTTTATATTACATATTGTATTATAAAATTTTACTTCTTTCGTCCTAAAATAATAGATATTTTTTAATTTAAAATTTGTCTCAAAATAATAGTATATTTTCCAATTTTGATGTAGACTAATATTGTTTTCCTATTAAACCTTTATGATTTTCTTTTAATTTTAATTATCCATCTTATCATAAAAAACAAAAATCTCTTTATTTCTTATTTCTTTTTTGGTTAAAACCCTTTTTGGTCCCTGAACTATTGTACGGACCCCTAATTTGGTCCCTGAACTAAAAAAATTCGTGATTTGGTCCCTACTGTTTACTATTTTTACCCCGATTTGGTCCTTCCGTTAAAAATCATCCGTTAACTCACAGATATATCAAAAATTTAAGCCACGTCAGTTGTACACGTGGATAAATGATGACATGGTCATACCCAAAGCAAAAACAAAAGTGGGGCCCACCAAATTACAATTTTGCATCATCTTCTTCCTCCAGCATCTTCTTCCTCCAGCATCTTCTTTCTCGAAACTTCC